CATAAGAGTAATTTATTTTTCATATTGTGGATGGAATAGTTTGAATTCTTTATTTCTTGAAATGTCTTAAATATTGCTTTTATAGGTGATTTTTGAGTTATCCTCTTTTTATTATTTTTATATATGATGAATTCATAGGAAAGAATGATATCGTGTTGAAAAGAATGAGAAACTATTTCAAGCAAAATGCAAAATTATGGAGATTTATTTGGTTACTTTGGATGAGGGGTGAGATTGAATAAGATAAGATAAAAAAAAAATATTGCATACATGAATTTTATATTTTAATTCATCACGTGTGTATAGTACTAATTTTTTTTCTTATTTCTAATATTTCCCATTTAAAAATAAGAAATAAAAAAAATATCAGCTAGCTAGCTACAAAATAATTCAAGTTAAAAAAAAGAAGGTGGAATTAAATATATCCAAAAATAGAGAAGTTACTCAATATATATATTATTTATTACTAAAACTCATTGTATTAGAATAATGAAGTATATCATTTTTTTTACTATCTTCTTTTATAATGAAATAAAGTGACCATACCGGAACATACTAAAATCCACACAAAAATAAACTAAAGTCCTATATTTCGGTCATACTACATCGAATTGTAAGAATAAAATTGTGTAAAAATGAAAAAAAAATTGTAATAATTTCGATATAATATTCTTTTTTTCTTTTTTTTTTGTCATCATTTTAAAATTTTGATTCTCTCTCTAAATAATTACACCTTAAATGATTTTTGTAAGTCCTCAAGAGTTTAAGGATATTCATTATACTTAAAATAATTCAGAAATGATGACACAATTTTGTATCGAGTTGTTTGTTGAAATATTAATATCAATGCTTTTCAATTTTATTATTATGAATTTGTAGGTTTATTTTTATTTGATTTGAAAAATAGTTAGTTATTCTTTCCTTTGCATTACTATTGACATTTTTTTCTGGTATTTTTTATATTTTAACGTGCACAAAATTTAAAAACAGAATGAAGACTTTTAAAAGAAGATTATGTGTCTAACATGTATGATCTTTTGTTATCGTATCGAAAAACAATATGAAAGAAAGTTTAAGTTTAGTAGTTCCTCATATAAAATAATCATCGCTTATTTTAAAAAAGAGAAGGACAAATTATTTACATTTCATTTGATAGTTAACGGTGGATGAAAAAATAAACAAAAAAATTATTTAAGTTATTTTTTTTTTCAAATATAAAACATCTTATCCCTTTTTACTTGTCCATTTTGATAAATCAATAAAGGATACATTTTTTTTTATCTATATATACCCTCAATTAAATAATTTTTAAAAAGGTAGAACTTCTTGAAAATCTTAAATTTTGAATTCATCCGCTTCATAATTAATAGAGATAAAATGGTAAACTCACTATATCAATCATTATTTTTCTTAATAGGTGTATTAATTTAAAAGTGGACAAATAATTAGGGACATGGTATATTTGACAATAGATCAAAACAAAGAATTATAAGTGTTTTGTTTAAAAAAATTGTTCGTGATTTCAGTTCCAACGTGGCAAAAAAATTGAAGTTAAGAAATATTTATGGTGAAATACGGTTATTACCAACTTCAAAAAGTTTCTCAAAAGTAATAGAAATGGTCAATTTGTTTGAGTGGTTTCCACCAAGTGCGACTAACAAATTGGGCCGTTCAACACTTGAAGAACCTCAGCAACATTCCTAGCTAAACAAAGAAAAGATATTAGGTGATTTTTTCTTTTTATTTTAATTTTGGTGAAGAGATTAGTTACTTTTTAGTTGTTATTGGTAAAAGATAACGTATATTTCATAAGATTAATTGAGGTACAGATAAACTGATTCAAATACTACAATTATCATATAAGAAGGTATAATTATATAAGAAAAGTTCAACATAAAGTCATTGTAGTACTTCCAACCGTTATAAACACTTCAAAAGTACCAAAAGCATTTAATTTGCTTTCTTAATGATGGATGTCGAATAAAAAGGTTTTACTATATTTGGTATTAGGAATATCATTTTGTTTTTTCGTAGAAAAGTGGTAAGCTGTGTTTCTAAGAGGTGTTAGAAAGAAAAGACGTAAAATCCTCTTTGGAGATAAAAAGATGTTGAAACCAAATTAAAGTCATTAGAATCCAAGGCATGCAAGAAAAAATAATGGTGACCAATTTAAATAATTTCCCTTGCACCTAGGTAAATAATTTGATTCCATAGTCAAAAAGTTATTAATTCAAATTCAGGTGCTAATTAAACTCATTAGTTATTTGGAATTCAAAAAACCTAAGTTCATTGAGAGAGTAAATTGTTCCCAGATATTTCTCAAATATACCGCCAAACTCATGGTTGATGATGAATAATTAAGGAGATTCATTTCACTTTTTTTCTTCTTGTCTTTTGGAACTTCAAATTTCAAGTATGATCTACATGTGCTAAAGCAAATTGCATTATTGGGTACTTCATACTAGCAATTAGGGCAGTAACTAAAGAGGTAAACTTTGAGAAAGGCAAAGTTATTACTGACATCTCACCTCTTTAATTTTGGGTTGAAATGTATGATTACCCTACCGAAGAAAAGGGAAAAAAGGAAGGTTAGAGGAAAAATTACAGAAGGTGTCTTGACAGACTTGGACCAGTCGACCGTTGGATCAGACTCCTCCCTTCACCTACCCTACTCAACGGACCCCTTCTATTTATTTATTTTAAAGAACCAGCTCCAAATCCCGTTTCGTTATAAATTTTAAAGTTGAAATTTGAAATTATGTTTAGATATGCTTATATTTTAAAAATTGAAAATCTCGGAAAGCCAAAATCTAAACAGAGCAAATTTCATGTTTAAATTGATTTACAAAAGTTTTGACGAAACGCCAGCTAATATTTTGTTACTTATTTTGGTGACAAATTAAAGGTAGGTAAACCTGCAATAATCCAGGTTGCCTAATGTCATTTCTTTAAGTTAAAAAAAGTGCAGCCATAAGTCTTTTCAATACTGACTTTGTTTTTAATTTGATGAGTAGCATACCAACACTGAGCAGTTCTCGAAGTAAGAGCAGCCACGAAATTGATAAAAATTGCAGGAGAGAACAGATTTAGCTTCAATCTAAAGATGGGCACTTTTATCGAAGCTGGGTGGTTCGTCGTCATCATCATCATTGTCAATTTTTTAATTGTCAGACCAACTTTTTCAAGTGGAAATGCAGAGTGTACCTGTTTCTGTTTATAATCTAATCTATTTAAGCTCTGGGTCTTATGGACAGTAAACTGCAGAGTATCCCATAATCTAATCTAATCTAATTAATTATCTCTGGGTCATATTATCAATTACTTATGAGTCTTGGATTGCTCATCAGTCCACTTCTTTTTAAACAGCTCAATTTTTCCTTTCTTTTTTTTCCCATTCAAGTCTTGACTCACTCTGTTTTAGAAGAGGTCGTTTGGCACACGGAATAAGGTGATTTAATTAATTTTGAGATAAAATTTATTATTTTAAAGAAAATTACGTAAATTATTAGTTTCATTATTGATAGTTTTAAAATTAATATTTTCTATTTGACCAACTAACCTATCGCATGACATAGCAAGAGTCTCAAACTCTTGTAGGAGCACGATACTCTTAAATCTTAATAATAAATATCCCAAAGAAGTGTCGAAAACACCCTAAACTTGGTGAGGATTTAGGAGCATATTTCACTCATATTGCAAAAAGACGAGTGTATTTAAACTCAATTAATCAAGTAAAGGATGTTTTAAGGCTATCAACAGTTTGGAGATGAAACTAACCATTCATGCCAAATTTATAAATATTTTCAGTACTTTCTCTCTTAATTTTATTCCTACGGTAAATTAGTTTAAAAATTATAATCACAAAATATGTTAAGCTCAATCAAAAGCAATCACTAGAAGACCCGCCTTAAGCAAATGTCATAGCAGTAGTACCTCCTTGATCATACATTAAAAAGCAATTTTGAAATATTTACCTCTATTATTTAGTGACATAGCCAGTTTGTTGTACAATCTTTAACAATAATTAGTACATCAAATAACTATGTCCATCAAATTTTGGATGGATAAGAATCGCCTTATACTTCTTCTTTTTGCTAGCATTTGAACCTAATTTTGAATCATTTTCTCCAATTTCAATAATTAATCTACTAGACCACACATTTAGATGCTTGACTATTATCCATTGACTCTTTGTAGTAGCTATTTATGCCTTTCATTAGTGTTCACATTTTTCTACTAGTAACAAACTCATGGCCCATTATGCAACTTGTACTACGACTTCCTCAGCAATTCAGAGAGGCAGTAGTGGTCAAAGCGCACTATGGATGGTGCAAAATTAGAGCAAAATAACATTTTCAGTCAAATAATTAGGCCCCCTACCACCTCTATAGTTTTGCAATAGAGCACGGCTCTTGTTCATCATCATCATCAGCATCAGCAACTGCTGACAGTAACTGATATTAGGTGAGTGAAAGAAAGGTACTATTCTGAATTCATTTCAGAGTGAAAGAGACCCCCATTATTTCATTGCCATAAAATCAAGTTTGGTACTACTATTATTTCTACAAGACTTACCAAAAAGGAATAGACTTTACTATAGTGTAAGGCTTCCTGAATGAAGGACATGGCAAGTCAGTAACAAAAAACACCATCAGCTCATGAAAAAAAGCTGTTTTTATTTCTCTAGCTAGCTAAGCCCACAGGTTTTGGCTTAAAGTCATTGTCAATGGAACTTCCATTACAGAACCTGAGAGAAAAGGACCTTCTTCCTTTTCGACTAATAAAACCTCTTATAATGATTGAATCGTTTACTCCATCAAGCTTTCACTAATCGTGCAAGCAACAAAATGCTATCAATAATTCACAAAATATATGCACAATTACAGTTGATTTCTCCTCCTAATGACACCAAAAAAGAAACAAAACCTAGAAAACTAAAGGATCAGAACAAGATAGAAGACACTAAAAGAGAGTACACTATTCATATAAACAGAGAAGGCTTAATCTTGAAATTCAAAGTTAACTTGCTCAAAAATATCATCTTTCTATACTAACTTTTTAATCTACAGAGAGCAATGAAATTGAAATTAAGCACTTATAGAAGAAAGTACCTAACAGAACCAGGACACATAACTGATTTAGAACAATTAGTGCCATGAAGAAACAGTCAAAAGGGGATTATCTTTCCAAGCCAAGGAGAGAAACCCAGGTTCAGAATCAATTAATCCAAATGATGAACTATAATTATAGTTCCAAAGAAGAATTTTTGCTTGACTCATTGCATAATGGCTAAGTGGTACTGGTTTAAAACCAGCCCCTTCCATTAATTCTCTCCAATGTTCTTTATCTTCCATACATTCTCTTCTGGTTCCGCCGTCGTCTAGGCCCACCGCTCCGGCAATTCTCCTGCCAAGTATCAGTCTTTCCACTTGTACTCTCTCCGGGGAGTCTCGGGTCAAGCTCGGATCCAACGACTCGAAAACTGTTGAGTAGTATTTCAGTGCATTCTTAAACCGCTGCAGGAATCCTACATCGTTCAAATTCACCTCATACTCACCCAATGTCACAATGCTTGGATTCAATGATTTGGCTAGACTGAGTGCAGTTTCTACACCAACATTTGTTTCGTCCAGTAAATTGTACAGCTGCAACATGAAGTTCACAGCTAAGATTTCATCTGGATCAATTCGAAAACTAGACCCGTTTAGTTCCTGAACTGGAGTCAATATCGGTTCGAATTCGAAGTTAAGATCCAGAATCTTCGCAAAGTCACGAAGACGATTCCCTGTAGCTAAAAGTGAAGCTGCCGGAGAGTTACCCAATACCACTGATGGAATACCGGAGATTCTAACACTGACTGGTTTCCCAGCTGATCTAGTTGCTAAAGCTTGTAAAAAAGCAGCCCATTGGATACCATGAACAATTCCAAAATCTACAATGTGAATCCTCGTTGCTTTTTCAGTTGCTTCAAGAATCGCCTGATTAGCCGTTAAGTGAGCAAACTTTGAGTAGGGACATGCATCATTAAAGGTTTTGTATGACAAAGTGAGCTCCTCCGGCGTAGTACCAAAGATTGACGGAGTTCTTTCTGCTTGACACGACGACAGCCCATTGTAAAGAGCTTCTAAGAAATAGAACCCAACTCGCTCCATTGGATCTCCTTGTTGGGAAACTGATTCCCTAAGTCGAATCAAAGATTTTACTACATTTTCAGGCTCTGATTCAGCGAGTCTTGCACACTCCACCAAGGATTTCAACAATGGTTTTGAAGAAAAACTTTCAGGGGAACTACAGGGCAGCACATCAACTGATACCACCTTGGATTCTTTACACGCAGGTTGAACAATTGGAGGAGGAGATGAAGATGGTGCGACCCACGGAGTTGTCTGTGGCTGTAGTGAGTTTAGATTTTTCTGGGTTTCCGAAAAAATGACCCCATTCAGATCGGAAGAAGGCGGAGGCGGAGGAGAAGAACCGATACTGAGACGATTCGGACAACTCGAGAACGGATCTCCGTATAGGGTAGTGAATTCGGAACTCGTCTGCCAGGCTTCGCAACCAGATTGAAGATTAGAGCTTCCGGTAGAATCTCCGCCGCCTATCAAGCTCTCCATCCACTCATCTGAGTCAAACTCACCACCCGGTCCACCGCCGAAATCAGCAAACCTAAACCCGGTCGAATGATGTTCCAAGTTAGGGAACTGAAATCCCGGCTCGCCGCCATCTGTTCCTCCGGCGACCTGAAATGGGTCTGCAAAACCCGACCCGGTAAGTCCATATCCTAAAGTGGGACTATTAGTTAAGGTCTGATGAGTGGTGGAAGTCCATGGGCTGAGACACAAAGGATTAACACCCAAGAATTGTTGTTGCTGCTGCTGCTGCTGTTGTTCTTGCTGTTGGAGCTGCTCCTGCTGTTGCTTTTGCTTTATGACTTGCTGAGCGATTGCCATTAGATTTCCACTGTCCGTACACATATAGGCCATTCTCCCCACCAAATCTTGCTAAGCTACACTACTCACACATTACCTCAATAACAACAGTTATCGGAAGAAACTGGTGAGCAAGTTTTGAGTGGACTAACAGAGTAGCCCCAGGAAGAGGGACAGAGAGTTGAAAAGGGGGTTATAGTGTGGTGTGAGAAGTGCTTAGCTTTAATTTAGAAAAACTCAGCCTTACAACGAGGACAAAGTTTTGTTTAAAGTGGCTACATCTGTCACACTATATTAATTTTAATATGAATTTCACCTATTTTTTTTTAAATTTAGTTAATTTTTCGATGTATGGTGTTTCAACCTCCACTATATTTGAATTACACACAACAAAAACAATAGATCCATATAAAAAAATGTACCTTTCGTTTAATATCTATTAGCTAAAAGTATTCATTTTCTAATCTTTTTGACTCACTTTTGCCTCTGAAATTAACGGATCACTTTTTAATTATTATTTTTATAAAAAAAAGTTTTATTCTTTTTTTTAAGTGACAACTGAGGCTGCTTAGATATAATTCTTTCAATTATTATTTTTTCATAGTTTTATTGGACAAACTTTAAAAAACTCAGCATACCCAAATTTATCATAAAGCATACAACTTGCTTTATTTTTTTCATCAAAGGAACAAAATAAAATAAAATTGTGGATTGGTTCATAAAATTAATTTGTTAGGAACAAATAAAAAATATGAATAATTTTTCTAATTGTTTTTGTGGGGAACAAATGAAATTATTTGCTATGAGTAAATTTAAAAAAATATACGTTTATGACAAAGTCGAGTATGTTGGGTAGAACAGGGTTTAATTAAAATATTTTTTTCTTAATTCCATTCAATAAAAATAAATACGTAATAAATAATAATTAAAATTTTTTATAAGCGAGCATATGATAATTTTGAGCCTCAATTGGCAATTGAAGATTTTGTTCAATGGACCCTAATCAAGAAATCCCCAAACGGCTGGCCATAGATTTTTCAAGTAAAATTTGGCAAATAGTGTTTGTTCATATAATTTGTCATTATTTGACAAATAATCCAAATTCTCAAATACTAGGGACTCGTTTGGCCATAGATTTCCCAAGTAATATTTGAGGGAAAATTTGGCAAAGAGTGTTTGTCCATAGAATTTGTAATTATTTGGCAAATATCCCAAATTTCCAAATACTAGTTTTTTCTAGTATTTTGGTCAAATCCCATTATTTGGGATTTTTTTAAAATTGAAATTTTACATCAAACTTTTATATTTTACAAAACACCCTCTATAGCAATTGTTTGCATGTATTGCCTATTTTTTTTTACATGAACATCAAAATAGTGATGAAATATTTAGTGAATATGAAAGTGATGATATGATTGTTGATGAAAATGATGAACAATCGGCCCACGGTAACAAAGTCATGTGTTTTGTCTACTTTACGATGTATGTAATGATATTTGTTGCATTCACTCCAAACTATCATGTTGCTCCAGTGTCATGGACACTACTTGTTATTTGTTGCAACGAAGATCCAATTGACTTGTAATACAAACTTATGGTTAGTTTTGATAGTTTTTAAAACTTATGCGTATAAATCATATTTTTCTAAAAAAGTGAAATATGTATCCCATATACTATGGCCAAACACATGGTGAAATTTCACCCAAATAATATTTACCAAGAATATTTGGAAATCTATGGCCCAACGCTAGCTAGAAAAAACTAGTATTTGGGTCAAATCTCATTATTTGGGATATTTGAAAAAAATTTAATTCTACACCAAACTTTTATCTTTTACAAAAACACCCACTATAGTAGTTGTTTGCGATGTATTACATAATTTTTTACATAAACACCAAAGTAGTGATAGAATATGAAAGTGATGATATGATAATTGATGAAAATGATGAACAATCGGCTCAGGGTAACAAAATCATGTGCTTTGTCTACTTCACGATGTATGGAATGATGCTTGTTGCACTTACTCTGAACTACCATATTGCTATAGTGTCATGGACAGTACTTGTTATTTGTTGCAACGAAGATCCAATTGACTTGTAATACAAACCTATGATTAATTTTGATAGTTTTTGAAATTTATGGGTATAAATCATATTTCCTAAAAAAGTGAAATATGTTTTCCAAATACTATGGTCAAATACATGGTGAAATTTCACCCAAATTTTAACCCAAATAATAAATACCAAAAATATTTAAAAATCTATGACCAAACTCTAGTTAAAAGGGTGTGAACTGTTGATGGCATGTCAACAAATTCTCAAACAAAATGCAAACGAACAGAAATTATCAAACTTTAATTAAGAAGAACAAAATCAAAGTACAAATAGTGATTCTATCAGAATGCAAGATAAAAAGTCTAGTTACTAGAAGTCATGAATACAACTCAAAATTCATACGAAACTGATGAAAACCTAAAAAATTAATAATGGTATACCATAGAGAAACTTGTAGAATTCGTGTTTTCGAGCTCAAGCAATTCCTTTTAAAATTATGTTTTACATGCGTTTAAATGGTATAAACATGCTCACTAACAAAATATATCTTTAAAAAATAAAATTATTCTACACTAGTCAATAATGTGCCTAGCACGACATGCCACATGACACAGGACATGTCGTGCCAAGAAGGCTTTTCTCGAGACCTTGATTTCTAGAAGTTCTGAGCTAAAATTATTTTCTCAAATTCTCTCATGCTGACTTTATTCTGAATCTCGATTAATTTATGTTGATTGTTACTTAAATTTCAAAACTTTATTTTATTTGTATAAGCTTCAAATTTTATTTTCCTACTCGAAATCAAGTCCTATCACAATTAATTATATATTAAATATATTGATGTTCAAATTCTAACTCAAACGCAGTTAAAATAGTATAAATATAACACAAAATTTAAATAAAAATATATATATTTCTGGCCAAATACCAGCGGTCAAATAATCAAAATTTGGAGGAGCTTAAAACACCTTTGCTTAAAATCGTTAAAATAGACTTGATTTCCTAAGAAGACCAACCTAGTTTGCCCGTTAGCTTTATGGGATGGACTGCCTTAAAAGATATTGTTCTAAAAAAAGTCGAGGTATTTCGAATTGTTTGTTGACACGGATAAAATTAAAAAAAACCTTTGAAATTATCTCAATATTGACAAGAACAAAAATCGAAACTAAACTCAAGGAACACAAAATATTTATAATTATTATTTTCAAATTTACCAGTAGACGGAGTGTCTAGCGGTTTTTTATTAAAAATAAAAAGATATCAATAGAGTTATGTACAAGTAAGGAGGCTAGGCCTTACCTTATTAATTCTACTAAAGTACCTAACTTTTACTAACTATCAAGTATGAAGAAAATAAGAGCTAGAAAAAACTAAGTATTTTGTGACACCACAAAGTTTGTAATACACTCTATGATGATATCACAAATAAGGATGCTTAAATAATGCAAAAATATTACAATCAAGAAGAAGGTTGAGTTATCAGCCTCAAACTTTCTATTACGAAAGCATGAATTAAAAAAGATTGATATCCCATCAAAAGTAACTTGAAATATTGTTCTCTTGTCTTCTTTTTTCAAACATATCCAACAATACTTGATAATTCATACATTCTTTATGAATTTATTGGATCTTGTTGAACCTATTGATACTGTCACATAGTTCTGTTTTGCCTGTTGCATCAATGAGTGTTTTGGAACAAACTCTTAATCACTTTACCGTCCCAACTATGTTGTCTTCCATGTGTCTTCTTTTTATTTTGTTGCTTCCACTTCTTTGTTGCCTTGGTGATATATCTCCTTTCCTAACTACTCTATCAAAGCTATGTCCAACTCTTCCTCATCTTCATCAAGAGAATCCTCGCCCAAATCAATTGTATTTGACACTAAGGCCCTTGAGTTATTCTTTTTTGCAATCACACATTTATGCACAAATATAGGAGCTTATGGGCTTAAATTGCTATTCATAGCAGTTGATGAGCCATGCTCTTCTTGGACCAAATTGTTATCATTCTTTGTTGACCTTACTATCTGTCCAAATTCACCAAGCGACTCCAAAATGAGAAAGAAATCTTTCGATTGTGCTTTTGGAGATAATTATTTGTTAGTAGAGAAACACTATCCACAATTGTAATTATTATTCTCAACGATAGTTAATACCATTATCAATTGTCATAATTAGTTATTACTATCACTAGTCACTATTTACATTTGTCACAATCATATTATCACGATAACAACAATCATTAAATACAATCAATAGTTATCACCATCCTGTTAAATTAGGTCTTAGGCCTAACTCACACCCCAAAAGTTAGCTCAAAAGGAGGAGGATTGCCCAAGCCTTATAAGGAGTCCACCCATCTCATTAACCACCGATGTGGGACTTTTGTCATTCTTTAACACCCCACCTCACGCCCAGTGCTTAGCATCTGGTGCGTGGGCAATTTTTGATTTTGGGGGCCCCAACATCGGGTGAGACGGGCCCTGCTCTGATACCATGTTAAATTAGGTCTTAGGCCTAACTCACACCCCAAAAGCTAGCTCAAAAGGAGGAGGATTGCCCAAGTCTTATAAGGAGTCCACCCATCTCATTAACCATCGATGTGGGACTTTTGTCATTCTTTAACACATCCACCATCACTAATCATTACGACTAACTACTAATCACAACCATTCTCGTAAGTCGATACCCACAACTATTATATTTAGTCGTCACACTATGAACAGAAAACAACAATACAATTTTAAAAAATATTTTGTTGAGATATTTTTTAATAATTCATATATTAACTATTTGAATTTTATTTATTAATATAGATAAAGAAATTTTACATCAAATATTTTTTAATTATATAATATCTAAATATTAGACCTATATTAAATGTCTAAATCCTAAAGCATCTTAATATTGAGATATGGCTGAAGTATTTGGAAACTCAAGTGTATAAAGAAGGACAAGAGTTGATACGTAATGATTATATTTAATGTTATTTTTTGGTAAGAGCATAATGAAATTTTCACTAGATTTTTACTCTGAAGTGAGACAAATTAGAATTGGGAGTGCTTGCCAGTGAATAGTCGAGTTACTTTATCTTTCTAAGTTTCTTCTTTATCGTGACAAAAACTGTTATTTTACTCTTCTTTTATTTCACAAACAAACATAACAAAA